TATCACAAGAACTATTCTCAATTGTCAAGCAGGTTGTTTAGCTGTAACTGAATGTGCAGCAGCAAGTTTTCATCGATCAACGTCTAATTGTGAACTATTTACTGATATGCCAAATGAAATTGCACATATGCAGACTGATACCGACATTACTACTATGATTGTTATTACTGGAACACGATCTCCACCTGGTTAGTATGAATATAGTAGATTTTGAAAGAAAAAAAAAACATTTTTTTCTTTAATAAGCTTTATTCATAATTAGCTTGTTGATCAGGAATATGTATAGAGATGGACCATGTAATTGTTCACTTTTTTTTATCGTCTTTGCCGCATCGGAAACATCGAATATACACAATAAAACAGAAAATGAATGCACACATTCATACCAATTGATATAGAAGTAATAAATTAAGTAGAGCTCCATTCAAAGTTAAGAAAAGGAAGAAAACAAACTTCTTTTTTGCTCATTCATTACTTATAATAAATAATAAACGATGAATGTTGAAGAAAAATTTTCCTTTTTTTCTTTTCTTAACTTTACAGTGAAATCTTCGTCGTTTTGCGAATTAATAAGAAATCATGAGTGGATCAGAAAAATGTTTGATTGCATCACAGATGGAATCGGTGCCGATAACGCTACCGACAAATACCGTTCTACCGGTTTCTTATCAGTCTATTCTCTATCAAAAACTTATTTTTACCAAAAACATACTTTTTTACCCAAAATTTATCTGTACCCCCCTAAGGAGATAAAATATGAACACTATTACGAGTCAAACCGAGTTAGCGACTTTTGCACTACTGATTTTTGCCGGTCTACCGGTTTCATCTCTACCAATGCCACTTTCGTAAACTAGAACCGACTACGACAGCATCAACAACAACATCGTCATCGTCATTCACATCATCGTCAACTACAACAAGCACATCAACATCAACTACAACAAGCACATCAACATCAACATCAACATCAACAACAACTACAACACCAACAACAACAACAACCACGAGCACCACAACAACCACAACAACCATTACAACAACAACAATAACAACAACCACAACTACAACCACAACAACTGGTAAATGAAATATTTTTACTACTTTGTAATACTTTTTTATCAATACTTACGCGGAGTAAGATTTGATTAGATTAGCTCAATAGTTATCCTGATACGGCTTTTTGTCTCGCCAAACTCTGTAAGATACATAGTTGAAAACGGGTGTGATGTTAAATGTCGAAAGAGAAAATGTCGAAAAGGAAAAATTATATAGTATAAAGACCGAAAAGACTGACGTCGAATAGAATAGATAATCAGTAGAAAAAAGTAGCAAGGAAAATGCAGGTAGACAAAATATCGAATATGAAGTTTTTAATTTTTATTTTAATATGACACGATAGGTGCGGTGGGTGTAAATGTGGATGTAGAGAGAGTTTGAGCACTTGTTCAAGAAAGAGATCCTCACGTTCACACCTCCCCCACACTCACACTCATACTCACGCCCACACCCTCACATCCACACCTAAAACTCAGTGGTATGATCATGTCAGTCAGCTTATGTTCAGTCGAATACGAATCTTAAAGGTCGAATAAAATGCGAGAGTGAAATAGTGTGTATATGTCAATACAGATTATGAAAGCAAATGTTTTTTATGTTTATTAGCATGCAACTATTTTCTCAATCAAACTACTTACTCAGTTGTTACTCGACCATATTCAGTAGCAGTCGTAGATGTTAATAGCGACAGTAAACCTGATATTATTGTTGCAAACTATGGTTCGAACAACGTAGGTGTTCTTCTCAATGCAGGCAGTGGCACATTCGCTACTCAAACTACTTACACAGTTGGTACTAATCCAATATGGATAGCAGTCGTAGATGTCAATAGCGACAGTAAACCTGATATTATTGTAGCAAACTCTGCTTCGAACAGTGTCAGTGTTCTTCTCAATGCAGGCAGTGGCTCTTTTAGTGCTCAAACTACTTATCCAGTTAGCACTCTTCCAATTAGGCTAGTAGTCGTTGATGTAAATAGCGACAATAAACCCGACATTGTTGTTACAAACCAGATTTCGAACACTGTCGGTGTTCTTCTCAACGCAGGCAGT